ATAGACATCGTGTTGATCCTCTTTTGACTCAAAATAACGGGAGTGTGCTTATAGCTTAAGCGTGCTTATTTGAGACATTTGATGTCGCACGCGGGCTGAGAATCATTCTTTGGGCGTCACTGGAATCTTCGGTGTCTCACCACGGACTTTCTGTGGAATTTGACGTGACTGTCTTTGATAATTTTGCGCGCGTACATGAACTTGGGGGTCTTTCCAAAGTCAAAGTGCGTGGCGGTGTCTGTCATTACCTATTGACTTTGGTTGGTGTCTTGTAGATGAGAATCACGGAATGAATAGTTCATGCCGCACTACAATGTTTGTCTACGAAATATCGATTTAGATACTGTTGAAGGTGATCCAAGAGGTTACTGCTGCTGAATATTGGTACTTGAGTAAGTCTAGAGATAGGCGAGTGTGTGGAATGTAAATTGTGATGCTGACTTATTGTTCTGCTCTCTCATTTGCATGCCAGTTCGTGAAGACTGTTGAGCCCCCCCATCTGGTGGATTAGACTGCATACTGTGTTGTATAACCGTATGCTGATATATGTGGGCAGTTTGGTGTCTTTACTCGGGTCATATGCTATGTAAGGGTGTTTGATATATATATTTTTACGATATGGACTTCAACATTGACTCGATCTAGTCTTTGCTATAACTTCTTCGTTCGATGTGTGAATCTTAGTCTTGTTATACTGTTGAATCAATGTTATCTTTGTTCTAAATCGTGTTACGTAGCGATGTTTCCTTATATTGGATGACATTCATGTTGGGTACCTAGTTGTCATGTGAAGATGGCCAGTAATATCTCTCTGTCTTTTAAGTAGGAATCATGAATTTCTGTTGGGTAGCCAATAGTTCAGTATGGCAACAACCATTGTTCTACCATTGAAACAGCATGTCAACTACTCTGCCATGAGTATTGAAAGTGACGTATGATTCCATGGGTATTGAGATTGATTGACAACTAATGGATCAAGATCCAAAGGAACCAAGAGAGCAGCGGTATTGTCTCTGCCTGTTACTACCCTGCCGCATATACCTCCGACAGTTCTGACCTGAGAAGAATTGGTCTCATTGGGATTCGGGAGACTACATCTTAGATTGGGTTCATCGTGTTTCCTTTCAAGGGCTATTGCATTCATCTTAACATTGGTGGACTTGCAAAATCTCCAAAGGAATTGCAATGGAACGAATTGGAGGAGACAGAGCAGCAGTGAAGTCATAAGAATAAACCAACGGCTATCTTCTCTATGTGAGAACTACCGTGGACAGGCGACTGGGACTGTCGCTCTGCAGTGCAAAATCCATTAAAGCCAATATAAAACACCAAGCAGGTATCGCATCACGAATACCCCGCCATCTGTCGTGTATCATTTTTCTTTGTTTTCTTTTTTTATGCGCAATTCCTTTGAATTGCGAGCCATCATGAGATGGGCAGTTCCTGCTGGATGGATACACGAGAAGAAAAAAGCCCAGAGACCGAGTATCAAGACAGGCGCCAATTTTTGGAGGGGAGGGGAAAAAAAAGAAGAAAGAAGAAGAATTGGTCTGCCACAGCCTCTGTTCGTTTCGTTTCGAGTCTCCATCTTTGCAGTTCGCAAAATTTTCTGCCACATACGTCAAGTCACAGATGCCCAAGGCCCTTTCGAAGTTGGGAATTTGACGATTTTTAAATTGTCTGCCTCAAAGCAAGGCGATATGCTTTATCCTTGCCTCGACCAATGCAACCAAATGAGAACCGCCCTCACAACTCCAATCCGAAATCCGATTTATATCGACGAGGGGTACAGCATGACGCGAACGGAAGCACCGAAAGACTTTGAGGGAAGAGGCTTGGCGAACTTGGCGCGGACAACGCCAGAGTTACCTGGTTGAAGAGCGTTAGTTGGATCGAAAATGGAATCAGTGACGAGGATAGTTTATTACCGTGGGGTCGGGTAACCTTGCCCCAGATCACGCGGATCTTGGTGCCGCGGATCTCCTTCTGGCCACGGTAGACGAAGGCAACCTTCTTGCCGAGGTAGAAGCTGTTTTTCGCATTGACGTTAGTACTGCTGCCCTCCCCGTCATTCAGCGATCGAAGATTGTGAAACGTACTTGGCAGCATTTGTGCTGTCAACACCCTCGATCTTGATCAGGCTGGTGCCAGGGTGGGTGATGTTACGAGAGCGCTGGTAGCTCAGGTGACGTCCCCTATGGTGATCTCTGTTAGCCAACGTTCGGTTTCTTTCGGATCTGGTGGTGCAAAGCAGTTCGGGAGATTTCGAGGGGGAACGTGTTTCGCGCCGTGATGAGGCGATTCTCGTCAAAGCCAAAAAGGCACCCATCTCTCCCATTCCTTCTCCGTGATTCCCTCCTCCTTCTCCGCTGCCATTCGGAATTCGCGATCGCAATTACTTACTTGACGTATACTGCCGGAAAGTTAGTACAATCAGATGCTAATTTCGCAAAGTCCATCGGTAAGGCAACTCACATCTGTGACCACTTTCGGAAGGCATCGTGTCTGTTGTGTAGCTTCCGCCCTCTCAAGTAACCGATATACAAGGAGGTATGGTGCTCGTCGTTTGTCGTGATGTCGAACTGATGGCAACGGGGTGGATGCGATATCGTGTTGTGGTGGCTCTAGCACGAAAATTTGAGCCCTCGGCATCACGTGGTGGCTTAGGGCATTTTAGTTAACAAGCGACTGTGGCTGAAATGTCCAAAGCGCCCCATTTCCTGCGATTTGAGATATCGATACCTAGCCACACTTCGTTTTCTCGCTAGAGTCTTCCATCAGCTAGCCTGTTTGGGAAAAGCATGCATTTTGATGCAAATAATTCGCCCTACTCTCCGTGCAGACGACGGTCTTCCTGCTTAGATCTCTCTAAGATATCATGGTCTCCGGGAAATGATTTTTCCTTTCTTGAATCTGTTGCCAAGCTAGATACTAACGTGTCACTCTTCCCAAGCTGGAAGACGAGAGAATTGTTGGGGGCCGCGGGGATTAACCATTGGTCACCGTTGTCCTCTTCACTCAAATAGCCGGCTGAGTGCTCAGCCCCTCGCTTGCATAACATTGATCAAATCATTCAGCGATGCTCTCTTATTCTCTTAGATCTTGATCCATTAATTGTCCATCTCTATGCCCACGGGATCATACGTCACTTGCGGTAGGCCGACTACCTACCTGGGTAAATGCACAGACACTAGGCAATCCATGATAGTTAGGCTATCACACATCAAGATGAAACTCGGCTATGGAGACTGTGTATTTGAACGGACTGACTGAGTTCTGGGCATTGGCACAAAACAGGATAAAAAAACCCAGCAAACGGGGGGAAAAGAGAGACACAAGACAAAAAGACATGAAGCAGAAGTAGGCAAGTTATATGGATGGGATGGCTATTGCTAGTGGTACATCACCAGCATGGATGGCTGCTCGGACAAAGTTTCCAGTGTTCCATTCATTGTGCCAAAAATCGCCGAGGCCTCTCCTAGTCCGGCCCGGGTTGTTCTCGGAAGATGCGGCGACTGATCAACCACAGGCCGTCTAAAAGTTCCCGGCTCCATGAGGCAAGCCGGGGCGACCAGACCATGAAACAGGCAGAAGTAAGATTACCAATCCCTCCCATATGAGGTATTACTCGCAGAATCTTGTATGTACAGTCACTGCCGTATACTCACTCTTCGGTCTACTGGTGCGGTGCTGGGGGGTTGCTGCGCTTCCAGCGGAATTAGAAATCCCGTGGTAGCGGCAACAAGGCGCTGAGAACCGAACAGAAGCACCACCTGATGTCTCTGGAACTCGGGATAAGAGGCCGGGTTCTACAACTTGTCTGGTACAGTAGACAGGCTGGCTGCTCGCTCGGCCCAGTCAAGACAAGCATCGGGAACATCCGTCAAGTTCTATGCTGCGCTTTTTTCCCCCTTCCTCTGCATTCCCTTCCTTCCGCGCATACATATGTAGGTGGATTCTCCCATCAAATACTTTGTAAGCAGCATGGCTTCCCAAGGGGTGATGCATGACTAGAAAACGACAAAAGATTTTTAACAATGAATAATAATGTTCCCGTCCCGAATCTTCTTGTGCTCTTGGCGAGTGCTAGGGGATGCAAATATGGCCATTTTGGGCAATTGGTGTTTAGTTGCGGCGTTATCTGCAACTCAATCTGCGGGTGACCCCCTCAGTACGAAATAGGCATACGGTGCTCACATTTGTCACTTACCCATGAGAAGCAAAGTAAGAATGGACGCAACTGGGCAATTACTATGCAGATGCTACAGCCGTGATAGGTAGGTGCCGGTTGAATGAATGAATGAATGTCCCGTTGTGCTATACTTGACAATAGTAGTGGTTTGCAATTCAGGTAGACATGCAACTGTGCTGTGTGCTGTATCCAACCCCAGTCCCTTCATCAGATACCCGACTTCAATGCCGTAAACCTCTGGCCTCGTTCTCTTGGCCGTTGGCATCCGCCCGGTATCGCCTACGCTGGGCTCCCAGCGAACCCCCATCTTGTCCCGGTAGACTCAAGCCGGGCAAATTACTAACGTGCTGGATGGTGGAGAAGGTCCCTCGAAGGCTACGTGACTATCGCAGTGCGGCTAGCAGCACTCCGAGCTTCCTGATGACTTTGCAGCCAAGCAAGGTCAAGGTTCCTGACGGCACCGACGGAGAAGTGCACTGAGGGGCGCTCTAGCAGGACTGCGCTAACTGGAGCACTTGACGCTGTACTGCTAGAGCTCCAAACTCCGTCAGCGCTTTATAACCCCGTCGCCTAAAAAACCAAGCAAGCCCACCGCGTCTCCCCCTCCGATCCTCAAGCTCCCTCTTCCCTCCCCAACCCAACGCTGAACCTTGATCTTGGACCGGCGCCTGCACCTCCAATCTTCGTCCCAAGCCAAACCGGTTGTCTGTTTAGACACTCTCTTGCACGCCCAACACGCACTTGATACAGTTTTCAGCTTCCCGCGGTACCTACTATATCCAGCCCGAATCCAGAGCAAACCGCAGCAATGGACCACACCCAGCCGTAAGTACCGGCAACCCCACCATGACACCAGCTATCGTCACTGCGCCGACAAGCTTCAGTGCACGGCGGGGTTGAGCCAAACTTTGGCATCGAGAAAGAAAAAAGAGCATCCGCAAAGAGTACGGTTTGCTAACAATTGCGACGCAGCCAAACGCTCGAGCTCAAGGAGAACACGACGATTATCGTCCTCGGTGCCTCCGGAGATCTTGCTAAGAAGAAGACGGTGAGCCGTCTTGTCCCATCGTTGTTTTGCATCTCTTTGCGCTGACACAAGCACTTCGCAGTACCCCGCGCTCTTTGGCCTGGTAAGCAGCCCAATCGTGACCACAGAATAGGCTATGCGTTTTTTTGGTTTTTTTTTTGCAGACAAACGCCGGCGTCGAGATGTGCACCAGCTTGCTTACCTGACAACTAATAGTACCGAAACCAATTTCTGCCCAAGGGCGTCAAGATCGTCGGATATGCCCGGACAAAGATGGACCACGAGGAGTACCTGCGACGGGTGAAGTCATACATCAAGACGCCTACCCCGGAGATTGAGAAGCAGCTTGAGGAGTTCGCCAGCCTGTGCACCTACATTTCCGGCCAGTACGACAAGGATGAGTCCTTTGCTGTTTTGGACAACCACCTCAAGGACTTGGAGAAGGGATGGCCAGAGGCGCACCGCCTGTTCTACATGGCGCTGCCTCCCAGTGTCTTTACCATTGTCTCCCAGCACCTGAAGCGGTGCTGCTACCCAACCAGGGGCATCGCTCGTGTCATTGTAAGTTGATGGCATACTTCTGCCTTATTATTTCATTCCTTTTTCGCTGTTCTCCGCCTAATCACTTGCCTGTAGATTGAGAAGCCCTTCGGCAAGGATCTTGCCAGCTCTCGCGAGCTGCAGAAGTCTCTCGAGCCCGACTGGAAGGAAGAGGAGCTCTACCGTATCGACCACTACCTCGGTAAGGAGATGGTCAAGAACATTCTCATCATGCGCTTCGGCAATTCCTTCCTTGGTGCTACCTGGAACAGACACCACATCGACAATGTGCAAATCACCTTCAAGGAGCCCTTTGGCACCGAGGGTCGTGGAGGCTACTTTGACGAGTTTGGCATTATCCGAGATGTCATGCAAAACCATCTTCTCCAGGTCCTCACTCTCCTGGCCATGGAGCGCCCCATCTCGTTCGACTCCGAGGATATTCGAGATGAAAAGGTCCGTGTCCTCCGAGCCATGCCTGCTATTGAGCCCAAGAACGTCATCATTGGACAGTATGGAAGGTCGTTGGATGGCAGCAAGCCGTCGTACAAGGAGGACGACACTGTGCCCAAGGACTCTCGATGCCCAACATTCTGCGCCCTTGTCGCTTACATTAAGAACGAGCGATGGGACGGCGTTCCATTCATCATGAAGGCTGGCAAAGCCCTCAACGAGCAAAAGACGGAGATCCGTATCCAGTTCAAGGACGTTACCTCGGGCATCTTCAAGGACATTCCACGGAACGAGCTTGTTATGCGCATTCAGCCCAACGAGAGTGTCTACATCAAGATGAACTCTAAGCTTCCCGGACTCAGCACCCAGACTGTCGTTACCGAGCTTGACCTTACCTACAGACGCCGATTCTCGGACCTCAAGATCCCCGAGGCATACGAGTCACTTGTCCTCGACTGCTTGAAGGGCGACCACTCCAACTTTGTTCGTGACGACGAGCTGGATGCTAGCTGGCGCATGTTCACTCCCCTGCTGCACTACCTGGAAGACAACAAGGAGATTATCCCTATGGAGTACCCCTATGGTAAGTTCCGACCTCATCTTTGCCCAATCCCCGGACATGTTTACGGCCTGGCCGAGCTGAGCTTCAAACTAATCCGTCGGTATAGGCTCTCGTGGCCCCGCTGTTTTGGATGATTTCACAGCATCGTATGGATACAAGTTCAGCGATGCTGCGGGCTACCAATGGCCGACAACCTCGGCTGCCCCTCCTACCAAGTTGTAAGTGGCTGGTGCTGTTGCATTGCACAATGTTTGACATGTATTGCCTTGGATTCCTAGATGGAACAAGCGTAGTAACAATTGTTGCAGTTAAAACCAAAAAAATCTTTGTTATATATATCGTCCCCAAATATAATGCATTGGACGTATCATGGGTCTCGGGCGGAACATGGCTGTGAGGTGGTATGGTTTCATAAAAAGTTGAGCGTCGTCTAAGCTGCAGTGGCACGTACTGGATTATAAGAATTGAAGCTTCTATTTCGCAATATGAAGAAAATAAAAAACCTAGATGACTATTTTTTTCCCCTGAAGCGCGTTCCAGGGTCCAACTTCTTTGTTGCAGTATTTGCCAAGTGAAGATGTCGCTGTGCCTTACCTAGTAGGAGAGGTTCGTGTGGTAGTTCAACAAAATAACCCCATCAATAGCAGTTATTACCCGTGCACCGTACTATACAATCAATGAATTGACTGCTTGATTGCTTTTAGAATTGCTATACAAGGTCAAGTTTCCATGCTCCTTTGCCAATCCCGCATTCTACCCAACTTTTAGGCTATATAGCGCTGCCATGAACTGATCGGAACCACCAGCCGGATTGCTGGCTAAGATGCGACCGTTCAGGTACCTCGTGTCGGGCAGTGGTTGTGGGCGCTTCTCAAGTCCATCTGGTCCGTGCGCAAACTCACGTGATCCGCCGTAGCTTTCGGCGTCCGCCTTGCCCGTGTTACCTCGAATCTTTGAAAACGGAGAAGGGCGGCTTTGTTGGCGCATCATCCTCAACCCCCGACCACGACCCAATCCGCGCCTGTATTTCATCCTCCTCCCACCTCAGGTGCACTGATCCGAGCACCGCCAGTATCGCCGAGCCTCGAAACATTCGGTGCCTGAATTCAAGCCGCGTTCACGCCCTCTCGGCTGCTTCCGTGCCGCTTTCTCTCGCGAAAGGCCCATAATCCAACCGAGCCATCCAACACGTGCAGACGCCCTCGGCCGTTGCTGATCCTGTTGCGACATCTATCGAGAACTCTGATTCCTAGCAGCGTCTTCGAGAATAGCTGCTTGAGTCCCCCAGCGCGGCCTTTGAATTTATATGCGAACTCGTTTCCAACGCGCCTCCGACCGTCCGCATCGGTGCAGACGACCTCGACGGTCATGCTCCACTGCCGCCCTTCATAAAGAGGCAGAACATCACCCTTCCATGATACGCGCGCGGTAGTTTGACATCTCTCTCGCAAGCCAGGCCGATTGTGTCGTCAGGGGGCGTGGTGTTGGGCAGTATCAGTTTCTGCGTGGGGGCTGCGGCGATTTCGCTTCCACAGCTCGATAAATGCCTGGCGTCGTCAAGATGGACAGTGGAGGCCAGAATGGCGCACTTTCCGACCACCACAAGGACTCGGCCGTAAACGGCATTAACGGTGTCAAGAGCATTGACGGGCCGCGAGTCGCGCCAGACAAGGGAAAGGCACCAGCTACAACTACAGCCAACAATGGGAGCAATGCCGTCAATGGAGGGGGGGCCGCGGGCGAGGCTCGATCAAATTCTCCGACCGAGCAAGTTTCGCGGATGAACAACCTTCCTGATGAAATCGTCCACATTACTCAGGGCTTCGTTCCGCTCTCCCTCCTCCTGACACGACTCGCTCAGTCTACGCACAACATGCTACAAGACAAGATCGCCGAGCTGGCCAAACTGCCACTTCCTGCTGCTGCCACGAATGGGAATACAAACTACACTCAGAGCGCTCCAGATGACACTTCGGGCGAAAACCTTAGGAAGAAGGCCATGTTACTACATTTCATCCAGGATATGCATGCAAAATGGGTTAAAGCACTAGTCATCGTGGAATGGAGCAGGAAGGCTTCCATGGTCAGCAAACTTATCGATCTCAAATTCCATCTCGACCGACAACGGGTCCTTTACGATACGGCCCTGGATAGCATCATCAATGTGAAGCGGGACTTGACGTATGCCCGAATGCCGAGCCCTGATCTCAAAACGGCACTACAAGTCCTTTCCACTGGAACGGCGCCGTGGATGCCAGACGTAAGTGGAAACCCCTTATAACTACAAACTACTAAGATTGGTTCTTTTTCTTACAAACTCATGTCTCTAGCTTCAATACATTGAGCCACCCCCTTTGACAACAGAGGAGCAGCTGAGGGGCATTGGTGATCTGGATACGTTGCTATCTCTGCGGCTAAACCTTGACGATTTTGACAAAATTCCGCATCAGTTCCGAAAATACACGATTGGATCAGGCCGGGTCACTTTCAAAGTTGCTGGAGAATTCGAGGTGGATTTGACGATTGCAGACGAAGATTTCGAGAAGCAGTTTTGGTTCATCGACTTCAGATTTGCCTTTCGACCGGCCGCACTATCACTTCCTGACTCGTTACGAACTCCGCTTGAGAACTGCGTAAACGAGGCGCTAGCAAAGGATGGATTAACCGGTTGTTATCAATTTTTGCACGAATACGTCCTAACCACCAAGATTAATGAGCTGAAGCGTCAAGCCTTGCAGCTGAGCCGAACATCGTGGACTGGCACGTTGGCAGTGGAACCTCTAAACAGAGCCTTGTCCATCCAATACTGGACGTCCCGTTCACCCGCTACTGGTCTGAAAAATTGGATCATCGTAGCGGTAAACAGCGGACGCAAGCAGGGAGGCAGGACAGATCCAAAGGCATCGAGTTTCTTGGCAGCAAAGTGGTATCGCGATGGTAAAGAGGTCAAAGACGTCGAGATTGAGGTGAATACCGAGAATCTGTCGGCGGAATCATTGTTAAAAGACGTCGTTGGACGGCACATCGAGCACATCCTGTCAAGTATTCACTCTGGGCTGCTTGCAGCACCAAGGTTTAAGAATCGCGAAACCGGCGTGGTACTAAACGTATCAAAAACCGATCCGGTGGCATCCTGCTTAAACCTGCAAGTAGGGTACGGTGGCACAGTGTCGCTCTTGATCGAGCCAACAAGCGGTGCCTTTGCCATGAAGCCACATTCAAAGTTTTCCATTCAGCCAGAGCTTCAGCTAAACAATGGCAAAAACCCAACGGAAGACGGTGTCAACTTCTTGGAACACCTGCGATGCGCAATTATAGAAGATGAATTGGGTAGAATGGGAACCGCTCGGGGCTGGTCTGTCCGGAAAGCACCCGTAAACGTCGATGAGTTGAGGTCGATTACCAAGATGCGGAGATGGAGCCGTACATTATGGCTACAACACGGAGGATGGGGTTCAGCCTGGTTTGTTGGAGTGATTCTCAGCCTGGAAGGCGATGAATGGTGGCTGCTCGAGACGTGAGTATATGCCGCTTTTGGGTTGATGTTTTCTTGCTCCCCCATTTTGTTTTTTTCCTTCTCTCGCGGCTAACCAGGAACTCTTAGGGACTCTACTCAAACGAATGGTTTCTCCAAATTCCATACCAAGCTTCCACTTAACAAGGGAACACCTCACCTGTCAGGTAGTTTTTGGGATAACCTGAATCTATTTGCAGGTGGCATGATCACTCAGTCAGTCGATATGAGGGAGTTGCATCGGCGTAGGGTTAAGTGCCAATCGAACGGAAGCATCGATTTATCTCTACCTCAGCAAGTCAGAATGCCATCTATCGAAGTGGCACTTTCAGCCATATTCCCGACAGTAACGCAAGAAGACGCGGACGAAGTAAACTCACAGCATTCCAGCGCTTTTGGATTGAACGAAGATCCGCAGGTACTTTCGTTATTACGGCTGAAGGCGGGAATCTCTCCCTCGTCTATGGAACCGTGGGCGGAAAATATGGTGGCAATCAATTTCAAGGGTGTTCACTCAGAGTCCAGGCGTGAAGAGACCAGCGAAGGGGGCTACACAACAACTCATCACCTGGTTTGCACCTCGGATGTGGTGATTAGAGTCCGACGACCAACAAGATTCTTGGCCCTGAAGGGCGTGGTGGATCAGAATGTCTCCTATAACCCTGAGAGGGGCGAATTCGTCTTACAAGTCCAGCGTCGCGTCACTGAGCCGGTTTTTGACATTCTCAAGTCGCGAATCAAGGCAATCGACAGATTCGTCAGCTTTCTCGAAGCTATGGAGAACGCCAAGGGGTCAATCGTTAGCGAATCGATCACGTTGAAGGGAGTTGTGTTTTGCTATGGCTCGCCGCTACCCCCGTCGCCGGATGGGGAAACTGTCGCTCCTCCCCCAGATCGCGAACTATGGAGAGTGAAGATGGATCTATCCAGCGAAGACATCGATATTCACATGGAGAAGGATAACCCCCATGTCCGGGTTATCGATCTCGCGAGGAATTTGGCCAGCACAGAAGGTGGTATCGGCCTACTGATGGCCTGGCTTCCCATGTCATTACACGCCATGAAGGCTCTGGTCCAGCTGGACGCTCAGTGGGCTGAGCTGTTTATGAAGGGTCAGGGCCGACTGGACTTTAGCATGAAATCCATGACGTGGATCAATCTCAAGTATAAGGACCTTGCGACAGGTCAACCTGGAGACAAGACCAAGAGGAGCATTTCCATCGATGCCCGAATGAAGGCCCGCCGTGGTGAAGGGTGGTGGCACGCTTGGCGGTCTACTACCAACGCCGTAGCCGACGATTTCGACCAGGCTTTGAAAGCTGTGTGGGAAGGCAAAGGGAAGAACGGGAGCAACTGGCTTGGTCTAACCAGCGGCGCAGCAGCTCAGTCTAATGAGGCTGTCATGGACATGCTGCTTGCGATTGATGCTGCGATTCGAGGAGTTGTACATGCACCGTCAATACCACCCGGCGGCGTGAAAGCAGAGGTGATAACATTAGACTAACTACAAGGTCGCAAGGAGGATCTTACGACGGTATAAAGCATGGGTATATATATCTATATATATATATATATATATATGTATCTACTCTCCACGAACGAGACGACTATCTTGCGGAGAGTTTCCCGTCAAGACTTGATATATCAAAAACGGGGGGGACGGGTTGCAAAGAACCAAAAAGGCTGTGACGAGGCTTGGAAGGGGGGT